TCAACCTTTGACACAACTCTTTTTTATCTAATCATGAAAGTAAAAAGGACGCATCGATACGTTTAATCATTGCATCGTTGTAGCGTTACAGACACTTCGATGCTGTTGAATCGTTTAGAATTTCAAGAGCATTTTCATATTTTTGTCAGCTATTCCCTTGACCATAACATAAATTACGATATACGTAACTTCTTCGACGATTCGAGCAAAGCTTATTTCGTAAGACGCCAGAGATGCATTCAAGCCAATTAGATGGTTAATTAACGTACGCCACTGCGTTCCTCGCATATTCGGGAATTCAACGCTTTTCCAATACGATTAAGGAACGAGTGAGAACTGCTGTTAAATACGCCGTTAAATTATGTACGGTTTATCATCTAGATACTTATTGCAATTACAGGTGAAAGAATTTTAATGAACTTTACTGGCAGCCCTAAGGATCTATGAAAATATTAGGAAATTTCGATTAGTTTTAAACAGAAGACGTGTATTACTATCGAATTCTATCATTTAAATTCATGAAATAAGTATCTATCGGAATAGAATTTTTGAAAGAATTATTGTCATTCGCGACGGTATACAAGCGTGTACAATGTTTTCTATTTTAAGTAGCCCTAAAATGCAACTAGTTCTTAATGCCAAGGTAACCACGAATTAATGGGTGCGTAAATTTTTTATGTGCCATTAAAATGATCGTGAAAAGGATCGTACGCACGCGGTTGTTTCGCGCTTGCGTTGGCGTCCAAAGGCACTCGAGTCGAAACCCGAACACAATGATGTTCTGTGCAAAAGACTGAAACGAGTGCAATTAACGTTACGAGTGCTAGCAGGTCATTATCCGACTGAATCCAGTCTCGTCTCAAAACCGCAAATTACCTGCGCCACTCACACACGCATCACGTGCGCACGTAAACACGCGCCCAAGCTTACAAGCTCGTTCGTACATAGTATCGCAATACAAGATGAATTAGATATTAACAATTAAGAACATGAATCTATAACCGTGTATTATTTAGATACGCGCATACGAAGAAATATTCATGAACAAATTAATTATTGCAGAGAAATGGTTCGTGTACGGCTGCCTCTCTCTTCTAATTCACGCAACGTATTAAGACATAAGTATACGTGCCACATAAAGAACATTTTAACGGTGGAATAAAGAGGAATAAATAACAAACTCATTAAAATTCGCAGCATGAGCAACAGACAATGGACAAAACGAACGATTTGCAAGTTTCGCTATAAATACGGTTTTTGACGCCCGATCAAACGCACAATTAACCAGAGTAAACTAGTGGCAATAACGAACGAACACACGAACAACATGCACCTAATGAAACATCGTGTACGCGAGAACACCGTTATTCGAACACGAGCAACGTTGGATCTAACGTTTCTTTTCAATTAATTCCTATTCGTTAGTCCATGCGCACTGGTGCGAGATAATCATGTCAATAATCATCGGACAAGTTACGTAGCAGCACGTGTTGCCACGATCGCGCGCATTCGTAGACGATTAAAACGTCTCGTCGTACGTCAGAAGTCGAACAAAGTCAAAATCAGGGACGACTAGGCGTTGTCACTTGGCTTGCCGAGCCCAATATTACAAACTGTGTCGGCATAATTATGCTACGCGCTGTCAGGTAGATGAAGCTGATACGAACGTGGAACCATCTAAGCGCCTTTAGAAGCATAAATAATCCTATTAAACGTGTCACTGGTTGTGTCAACAATCTGACAGCCTACAAGTATAAGATAGTCAAAGGAACAGTTAGGTGCGTTCTCTCCTATGCACGTTGATTCTGCGGTCAAAATCAATGTCAGAAAGTCAGGGGCATCGCTGTGCCCGTACCACAAAGATGCGTTTAAAGCGCATCGCGCTCAAACATTACGCAACACACCGGTTAGATAGATATTTGTCTACCATAGCGTCAAGTGGAAGACTAACTAAATGCCACGTTATTGAACAGAGTATATACATATATGTATATAAATCGTTTGGAAAATATTTCCTCCAGTCTACTCTTATTCTATCGTTCGGTTCTAAAAATTGGATTCATTGAACTGTGTTCGATCCAATTTTTTTTATTTAGAACTGGAATACGTTGCTCGATCGATCGGATTATCCAGGTTACTCAAAAATGTTTCTTTCGTTTCAAATGCCAGAGTTTACGTGTTTTAACGCTAAATAATTAAATGGACAGTGACATAAATGGTGTTGGAACGGTGTACTATGCATTGAAAATGCCGCATCAACATTAACGGAGGTTAAAAAACATACAATTACAGTTAACAGTTATCCTATAGACGCGCAGGTGTTTATTCATTTAGATTCCGCAAGCTACTTCACCTCTCTCAACGTGTAGCTAAATATAAGTATACAAAACGTAAGCGGTTTCAAGTGTTGTCGAGATGTCTGTAAACTTAAAGAGGAAAAGCGAGTTTCATTTCCGAAACCATAAAACAAGGAGAACATGCTGAACGACTTTATAATCTTTTATCACGTATTTGTATTCGATAAAAAGGTTTCATGCGTAAATCTATAGAAATAGCATTAGAAATTTCGCAAGCTAACTTATAAATCCAAATCTATAAATTATTAAACGATACAGTCAAGATATATTTCAAGAAATGAAATTCTTTGGTTCGTTCAGCTCGCAGATCGAACACGATTAACAGTACTTTTTCCAGAGATTATAACTTCCTAGATACGGTTCGATGAAGTTTTGTCGCAAGCTTCCATGGCGAGACTCTCGTAAACCTGACAATTATACCAACTCGTACCGTGGACCATGAGTCGCAAATGAAATAACCGCGAGCGGACTAATAACCGTCCTCTCTGTCTCTTTGTCTCTTACTTCGTACCATCGTGTTCCTTCTAATGCTTGTGCTACTGTGACAAAACGTTATTCGTTGGATGTACAACGTCAGTGAACCAAATTAGTAACGTACAACCGCAAATTAAGATGCGCCTGGTCGTTTCTCCTGTCTATATTTGGAATATTGTACCGTCTATCTATACAAAGTCATATCTCGGACCACCTCCGCGATACCATCAATTTCCAGTTGCAACGACGCTCTTGTCTCGGAAATTTACACTTTATGAATATTTTCACTTTTAACCGGTATATTTTAATTAAATCTTATCTGATACAGCGAGGGGAATGTATCCAATTAAGAACTTAATTCTGAAATGAATAATAATTTTATGCGATCAAAGTGAAGTAATACTGATTCGATCTCAGTCATTGAACAAAATGTATTCGTTTGAGTTAATGGCTATAGAATATGGAAACGATGGACATAATTTGCCAATCATGTTTGTCAGGTAAATAATCGAATTAAAATTCCGTTTGTTGCGGTCACTCTGGGGTGCTAAAAGCCTCAGTCACCGTTCCAGTTTATTGCACTTCGAGGCGGTAGGTCCCAAGAGGAGTATGTGACAAAACAGAGAATCCTCTTTAGGTTGTGCACTCTCAAGAATCGCATAAATTTCAGAACTAGTTTGTGAGAATTTAGTTGGCTAGTAGCCACGAAGGTAAACGCATCTACGACGGTTTTACAAGAACGAGTACCTGCTTACACCTGGCTTTGTAGGATCAGGTGCAAGATCGATATTCTTTCCGTTTGTTTCTTTTCCTAGTCACATTTTAACATTCACGTTCGCTCTTTCAAATCTACGAGTACGATTATTAGGCTCAGCGAGATTTTAATGTATTTCAAAACGATTCAACTTTTCTTATTAGAAGTTCTGTAGAAGATGACAAGCTGGACCATTAATCGACTTTATCAATTTTATCTCATATTGCTAATTAAAAGTTTAAATAACGATTGGCTTGTTCTTTTTCCTTTTCCTTGAAAAAGCAGATAAAATGTACAATGGTATATTAATAAAAACCAAGAACAACGGTAGCTTATCAATGAGTGTGTACCTCTATTATGTGATGCCTATTGCGTTGTGGCCAGCAACTTGTCTCGTACAATATTATTTGTAAACATTTACTACACTAATATATATTCTTCTTTCGATTCCTATTCTGTGCTCATTTCAGATAAAAATAGTCAGAAAAATATATTTAAAAAATTGATAAGGAATCAAATTATTATATCATTATTTATTACCAATGTTTTAGAAAATAACAAACAATTATAATTAGGATATACGACGTATTACGAGAATATCCTCTAAGATTCATAGACCTACCGGGAATTTCAACATGAAATATTTTTAATCGTACATATGTACACGGTGTGGACATTAATATTTATAATATATAATCAGCGAACAGTTTTAATTAAGCAGTTTATTCTAAAATTTGTGATGGTGATCACAACTCGAAAAACTTAAGAAATAACTACGCCAGAAATACAACACAGCCTGCATTCCTGTGTGACAGAGCGGTGGAGGACAGACGCAGACAGGAGGTAAAGATCGATAGAGGTTCGTCGACTCGACAACTGACTAGACTCTATATACTGCTCGACGTTACTTATGCTTATAGTCATAAAAATTATAATTACGTTACATCCCACAATAATTGTTTGTTCAAATGTAATTGTCTATTGAATTATAAAATTGCATATCCTATTTATTTCCACTTAAACGAAATATATAAAAAATAATGTTGCCTCGAATGAAAGAAGACGAAAAATGGCGGGAAAGAACTGATACGAAGGAGATATGTTAGGTTGGTAGCCATGAAATATTGTTCATCCGAAATTTTAACGAATAACCATTAATTAAATTTTGACCTACGTTTGATTATCAACCAAATTGAAAAACAAAACGCTCGCTCAATCGTGTGAAAATTACTTCGAACAAATGTCTTAAAAGAGATACAATGTATGGTTAAAATTTATTTCAATGTACAACATTTCGTATGCACCAATTTAATATGTACTTCGATTTTTAAAACTCAACATGTTTATCGGTGTAACAAAAACAATATTTTTTCTGCTTTTTTACTTTACGATAAATATATATGTTTTTTACTCACCAAGCTTTCTATCAAGATAATATCAGGAACCGATCTTCTCACACTTGACTTAATCCGAGTAATGGCGTTGCTGACATTGGCTATCACAGAGTTTCCGCATGAACGAGAAATTACTTCGAATTGTCATTGTTGCAATTGGCGTATAAAGATGCAGTTGCAGGCACAGCACGAAATAAAACGAAAAATCACTTTTGACGAAAGTTCGTTAAAAAAAGAATTCAGTCACTTCACATATTCACACGGAGTCTGGTTCATGCAGTCAAGTGATTCGTCACAGGTACAAACGATTGTCAAAAATTTGTGTCCGTACAAAAAAAAGCTTTCACATTCTGCGATATCCCATTACCAAGCGAGCCTGAATGTTGTTTTAATGAAAATTATCATTCACCACAACCGTTACTTCCAATTCCGACGCGTTTTGTTCTTCATTTCGTACGTACGAAGACTGTGTGGCCATCGTTCACTGCAGTCTAGCGACACCTGACACCAAACAATATCGATATATCGATGTTTTTTTCCAAACTGCACTACAACACCATCTTCTGATCGATCGATTCGAAATGATTATGTTTCATTTTTGCGAATACTGTGATACATCGATTTAATTCAAGTAATTGAATTTTGTTTCATTTGCAAATTAATCGATTACGAGAAGTGGCAAGGGCGTTCTTCGTAATTCCCCGATATATCTACTTGAATGAGTGATCGTTTTTCAGTTTAAGTTTGTTTTGTTGATTTTGTAGCGTGTCATTGATGGTCGCACGGTTAGTCACGTACATAAGGTCACCTGACAACGCTATTGAAAACATAACGCACGGTAAATTACTGCTTCGAGAGACGACGTGTGTTTATTAGTATTATGTATCGAACATAGTTTCGATTATCGGGCGCGGTTAGAAATACGCAACGACCATCACCAAGCTTGTTTCTTACGTTCTATAAACTTTTGTTCGAATGTAATTTGAAAACGTTCGACAGCAAAAATGGTTCGATGTTTCAATCGGGATACTTTACAACGCTTAATTAAACAAACCATGATATCTAATGCTCGAATCCACTGTCGCTGGACATATCTCCGTTGAATTTCGCTTCTGGACGGTTGAATTTAAAATGCGTGACGTGAATCATGGCAAGGTCTCGATAGTCGTATGCAATGGTGTATCTCGAAATGCTTTGGTTTTCCTTGTCACAAGCACACAAATGAATTACTCGAACAACGTACTTAGTTCGGCTTTGGCTACTTCAAATCATATTTGATCCAACGTCTGGTCGTTTACTTGGCTAATTAGATTGACAATACGGATACAATGTAACAATGCATCCTTTTAACCGCAAAAACAGCGAATAAGAGGATGGTCCGACCGTTATGTACGATCTATTCAAGTTTGTCTAGTTGTATCGAGAATTTTCCTGGAACTATGCGTTGCCACAATGGGAGATGGGATGTTGACGAAATAGTTGGTTGATCACTAAATCACGGCGCGAAAGGCAAGCGAGTTGCACGAACGCATAAAACGAGTGGACGGAGCCGCTGCTGGCCGACTGCCGACGGTCGAACACGCTCGGATCCCAACGATCAGCTGATCGGCACGCGCGCTACTATGGTAACCAACGTCAGCGGGCTCCGGTAGGGTTGCACGCGCACACACGACTTTTGGAGGGCGCCCCGTACGCCAGTCGCGCGGGCCTGATAATATAGTAAATACGTGCGTCGTTGGAGTTGGTGCGTGCGTGCGTGCGCACACACGTGGTGTTAAAACGTGTACGTACGCGACGTTCGTCGATGACAAAACACGAAACGACCACGATGAAAATCGACGACCAGAGACAAAGATCAAAGGGGAAAATCTACCTTTCGCCTTCTCCGTTTCTTTATTTCCTTTTTGTTGTCTCTCGCTCGTTCGTTTGTTTTTTTTTTCTTATTCCGCGATCGAAGCGCGGCACACAAAGTCACAAACGAACTTGAAGACTCCGACTGTGTGCAATCGCAATAGATGGTTTAGTTTAGAGTACTGTGTGATTCGTCACAAGAGATCGACAACGGTGACCGACGGTATCTCTGACAGAAAGGAAAATCACGAGGTAATCGTGGCGCGAGCGGCAACGTACGCCATCCGCTCGTGTCGGCAGTCGGGCGTGCACTGCCTTCCTGAGTCGCCGGTTGGTTCTCGATCCTCGACTCTGTTCGCTTGAACCGCTTGCCTGCTCGCGCGGCCTCCATCCCCGTATCGCACTACACTCTGACGCTCGATGTACGATGGTGGCGCACAATTTACCCGCTTCTTTTCCTCATCTGCCCTTCGATCCATTCCTGTTATGTATTATGTATTTATATAGTATTTCTCCAGTGTTGGTTATACCAAGCTTTTATAATACTTTTAATATCATGATTAATATTGAATACAAGCATATTACAGCATAACAAATTTATTATTCATATTAAATGGGTTATATAAATCTTGATACACAGCCATAAAAGATACACGAAAAAGATGTGCAAAATCTCTCTCCCGGCTCTCTATAGTTTATTCCCCTATATTATATTGATTCATTTTAATTTATAGTTAGAACAAGTCTATAAAAATTGTACAACCTAAGCTAATATTTTGAAGTAAAAAATTGTATTGGAATAAGAAGGATATGACAAATACTAGTACATCCAGTATTTAAATAGGAAAAAAAACAATTTCAGTAGTGCTTCGTACTTCGATAAATCAATCAATTTGTATACAATGTGCCCAGCATGTAGACAAGACTGTAGTCGCACCTATTAACAACGCGCCTATAAATTGAGAAGAGACTCCTACGCATACATTTCATTTTCATGATTAGAAACTTTTTAGTTTGATACACACGGTTAAAAATTCTTAGTGAACAAAATCTTAATTTTTAATTTATTTATGAAAACATATTTTTATATGACATTTCAAATTTTTATTTTTTAGTATAACTATTTCACTTTTTTTTTCATCTTATTTCACAATATAAGAATTTCAATAACGCTTCTGATACCTTGTATTTCTTTTTACTTGTGACATTAATTCATTAAAAATATTCATATATAATATAAATAACTATATAAACAAGTTAATAATTCGAAATAAAGGCTTCACATATTACAAAATGCTTAAAGATTATATAAATTATAATTATTATAGAACATTTTTAATGTTTTGCTTATATATAAATAGTATAAAAATAATATAAATAAAATTTGTAAATAACTTGAAACTTCTCTAACTTTCTATTTTGACCAAATATAGAAACGTCAGAATCAACAGAATTAGTCAATTATGAAACAATCTTAATATTGCTTACAGAATATGAAAGCAAATATTTCCTTACTTAACAAATTGGATATTGTAATAAAGATAAGAGAATATATACATTTTATTTTAATAAAGATAATATAGCTTTGTGGCGACATCTATTATCATTATAATGAAATAAGTTCAATAGTGAACAACTGTTTGTAACAGGAATGTACACTTTAATAGAAAATTGTTTCAAATGTAATGTAGATAAAAGAACTACAATATTGCTATCAATAATTATTAGTGTGATAAAGGACAAAAAGACCAAAGAAAACTTATGAATGATATCGCAAACCATAAAAGTAATAGTGATATTGTTAACATGATTGTATTGTGCGCTAGACGTAACCTACAATATAAAAATATTTCATGTTATAATATATAATAACAGTAACTTTAATTTCAATAAACATTGAAAAGGAACGTACTTCTTATATTTGGCTATTCCTAGTTCTACTGTGTCCATAGGATCTTTTAATAAATACATACGAACACCTCTTATGTGATAATAGAAATATTCCTTCCAGTCCAAGTATTCTGTATTAAGGCAGAAAATTTGTCGATCAGCAGAATTCATCTTGTTCCAAAGTTTTATAACATTGTCATTTTTAAACTTCCATTCATTTACTGCGAAGTAATGTATCACAGTGCTAAATTTATGTATCTTTCTGTATGCATCTAATAATCTAAAAATATATTAATGAAATATTACTATTAATTTATGTAATTATCAATGTATGTTATCTATACATGGTTTATAATTGGTATATAGGATACATACATAGGTGTCCGACCAGTGAGATAAGCCATTGTATCAACGATAATTGCTGGTATTATGTGCAATAAGAAAGCATAGATATTGTGAAGAAATAAATATCTATTGAGTGTCAGTCTATAAACCCAAATAACTTTTGTACTAGGTACTATTAATCCATAAATTTCATTAAGCTTCATAAATTCACCCCAAGAAATTGGTTTTTGACAAGAAGATACCGAATTATAAACAGGTATTTTTTCCTCATCAGGTAAATTAGAAGATTGGTCTGACTTTATTGCAACTTTTCTATGAAACAAAATAATTATTACCTGTATTGAATTTTATATCTCTTTTTATCTAAGTATAATTCTTTATTATTTCATTCCATCAATTCTTTTTTCTTTTTGTTTACGAATGAAATGGTATTACTCAATTTTTCATACTATTTAATAACAAAATTAATAAAAAATGACAAAATACTACCTATTGGCAACATCCCAAGCAGAGGAAATAATGTTGGAAATAACATAATCAGCTGGTATGATATCTGCTATATTTTCTTTTTTACAATGCAATGTATGTAACAAACCTATACCGCTACCCATAACTACACCTGTGGGTCCATACATATTATTTATCCATGCAGAAATTGGTTCCTTGTAAGTTGCTATAACGATACTGGGGCGTACAATACAAACTGGTAGATCACCACCATACTTTAATACCATATTTTCTCCTAGTGCCTTAGTAAATACATATGTATTTGGCCATTTATCAAGCAATCTATTATACAGAATATTTGCAGTTGATTATAATCATTCTTATTCAGAAAATTAGAATTTAGTGTTTTAAAGCAATACTTACATAGGGGTCATTTTTTCAAGTCTTCCATCATCCAATGTATCCAACAATGTTAAAACTTTATCTGCATCTATAATATCTGTATAGTGTACTTCATCAATATTCTTACGTACACAATTGGAAAATGCAGTTGATACATGCACAAAAGCCTACAGATAGAATTATTTGTAATTATTAATAATTATTTATGTCCTTAACAGAGTTGGTCTAAGATATTTGGTATAGAAATTACAATAAGAAATGTTAGATATACCTTAAAATTTGGTAATTTTTTTGCAAATGACAATAAGAATTTTGTGCTTCTGACATTGATATTCACTGCAACCCGAATTTTTTCATCAAATCGCACAACTGCAGCTGCATGAAAAATAATATTCACATTCATTAAAGTCTTCTTATCTTCTGGCGAAAGTCCATAATCTTCTTTCGCTGCATCGCCTTCTAATATTACTATTTTTTGCAGAAAATTCGGTTGCTCGCATCTTAATTTGTCGTATATCTAATAAAAATATTATACAATTTATTATTAGAATTCATTTAATAAGATACTTTATTAAAGAGCTTATTCTGCTTACAACTTCTTCGAAACTTTCTTTATATCGTTCGAAAGCAGTTTTCCCCTTTTTCGGTCTCACTATCATATATAATCTTAAAATATCTGGACAGCTTCTACAAATATACTTCGAATGGAATACAATGATTTATTATGCAAAATAATATGACATAATTATATTAGGTCAATGTATTATCAAACAATGTATAGTACATAAAGTATCAAACATAATAAAAGTACCAAAACTCCGCTGTTCGTAGAAAAGAATTATTTCATAAACACCGGAAGTACCTTTGAACCGATTGTTCAACAAACGAATTAAGATGTATTAGCAATCAATAATAGCATGCCATGTCCAGGAATTACAATTACAAAAAATATCAAAACGTAAATTAACGAAATTTTCAAGGCAAAGAAATATTATTTTTTATATAATCGTATCATCATATTATAATACGTGCTGATGAAATTTTAATTGCAGAAATATGAGATTATTGATATGTTTTAGCCACAAAAGTACGTCGTAAGATTAAATAATCGCTGTTAATTTATTGTTTGCATTCGTTTGTAATACGTAAAAAATTATTGAAATATAGTGTCGTGTCAGTAGAGTACCTGAGTAACTTCTCGATGAGTAGTTTTCCTAAAAAGCCCGTACCCCCTGTTACCAAAACATTAGTATGAGAAAAAAATTCAGCTATTTCGCTTTTTTCATTTGACACCGTTGGTTCATCAAAGTTCACTAAGTCGTCTATATATAAATTACTTCCACTTGAAGACATCCTGACGGTCTACCTGTTAAACCTCGGACGATATACGTAATTTAGTATAACAATAGTTCAGCGAAATTTTATAGGATGAAAAATGATAAAGCAAGGCAATAAGATGAAATGTATCTAGAATATAAGTGTGATTTTTGAACAGCTCAGTTAAACATTATTTGAACTTTATTATGCCTTCTTCTTGAAATCTACATAGTTCATTTCTTCAGTTTTTATATGAATAATTTATAGAATAATCTTCACAGTATGAAATATGGAAACGAATTTAGAGCAAAATGTAATTACAAGAAACACATCGATTTAAAAAAAAATTGTTAAAGGAAAGAAAAGGAAGTAACAGTATTGCTTACCAAATGGCGTAGCAGCTTAAGTAATACCTCTGATGTGAATTCGACGACGTTTCAGTTTCGACTGTAAAGTATTCCGACTGTGCCCCAATAGCTTTAAACGGATATATATTTCTTCAAATGTACACCTATTCAGCACATATGAAAGTCGAAACTTGTGTATGCAAATTAAAAACAGGCCATTTAGCTTTAGTAATCTACTGAATTACGATAGTTGGATTGAAGTACTGAGAAAGCAGTACATCATATCGATGTACGGGAAAATAATGTCATGTGTTCTGAAACATTTTGTAAAACATACCTACATTGAATTGGAAACGAATATACATGTTCCGATATAATCGACTAAAAAGATCCTCTCAGTAATTTAATATATGTGTCGCTACGACACATATACATAGTATTACATGTTATTGAAGATTTTGCATAACTTCTTTTAGTTTGTAATAATATAAATATTTTACAATAATGTAAATATTTATAGAATTTATGTAATTTTACGTAAAATTTAACACTAAATAATCTTTAAAAGAAGATTAATCCTTATCATCATGAAGAATAATCTATTATGTAGGACAATGTACAAAATATGTACCTGATGAAGTATAACAGAATAGGTGTGCTTGAATTTGCTTAAAACAATGAGTTCTATTTTATTTTTAATTTAATTCATTTAGTCAGATAAATTTCGTTTACCTTTCCATAATTTTAATAGAAAATTATTCTGACTTAAAAAATTACATAATCACCACAATTATATAAATATAAATTCATTTCAATTGTAAGTACATCAGCATTGTTTTAGAAATACCGGATGCACCTTTGAACCATTCAATGATCTAACTTAACATAAATTTATAGCCGAATAACGTCATTTCTAATGTATCAAAAGTTTTACGCTTTTCACTTCGACTTTTAATGAATTATGTACGATATCATCCGAGAATAACGAAAATTCGAAAAATAGATTATTCGTTAATGAACAGAAAACAAATAACAATAAATTTCCTTTTCATTTTATTTGATAATATTAGGAATTAAATCTTTAAATATAATATAAATAATATTTATTTCGTTTATTTATTTGTATTTGTACTAATACATGTTTCATAGAGAGGATGCAATATATACAATAAAATACATTATCGAGTGCCACATATTGTCAACAAATAAATATATAAGACGAACTATACAGGATGTCTCTGAAATTATAGAACAAGCGGTTGGGTGACGATACTACATGCAAAAATCGGTAGTAAAAGAAGAATAACGACTTCTCATTTAAGGCTTCAGTTTCACTCGTAATCATGAATCTGAAAACGCATTATGTACCCATGTATTAACTGCAAATTTCGAATTATGAAACTTCTGTTTCTACTCGTGTCTGCATTGTTAAACATGGGCAATATCACGATTTGTTTTTTGATTAATTAAATGATTCTTAAGAAGTACTAATCCTATCCTTACTTATAAAAACCTTCAAATTGAATATAGAAAAATGAAAAGTAATAGTTATTGTCGCGGAGAAAACACACGCGGAGATGACAATAGCAGGAAATTAATCGTGGCAGCGTATATATTTATTAATAGTCACAAGCAGGAAGTTTTATAATTCGAAATTTTCACTTAATGCACGTAACGTACTTGGATAAGTTTTCAAACTTATTTTCCTCGGAAACGAAACTTTTTTATTCAATTTATTTTTACATGTAAAATCACCATCTGACCGCCTGTACCATGATTTCGCAGACCCCTTGTACATAAATTACAGAGAATGCATGATATGCAGTATACGTGAAAGCACTGCTTGCAAATTAATTATGCAAAATAATTGTGTAACAAGATGGCAACCAATCAAGCAGTATTAATTATTATCTTATTTGTCTAATATTATGCTGTTCGTTGTCCTCGATACTTAATAAAAGTTTTGTCTTATGATTTTAATATTTTTATGATTTCTATTTAAAACAGTGACAATGAAAAAATACTTTAAAATATCTGTGGCAATATATGTTATAAATCATAATATATTTTGCATTCCTATATAAAGAATAAATAAAAACAAATACATCTTGTATATAATTAAATTTTCTCCTATTATTTTTGCAGTGGCGATACCTTTGAACGCACAGCGTTATTCACAATTTATACATATTTAATCATCAATTTACTTAATTCTGGATTATTATTTTAATAAATATACAATTTGGAAAGTATTATATATGTTCAATGTCGATATTTTGTATCCTAATTTCAAACGAATTTATAAGATGTATACATTAAACAACAAACATAAATAATATATATATAATTTTAGAAAAAAATATATTTAGTCATCTAGTAGAGCACTCAATGGATCTTCGGCAATCTTTTCAGCTGTCTTTTTTAGATCCCTCGTTACCGCTTTTTTAACGATCGAACGCGTTTCTGCTGAGTTTACCTGCGATTCGCTTGTGAATTTCTTACCGAAAATATTATCATCGTCGTCGTCGTCGTCAGAAGGAAACAGCGACTTCGACGTGACAGTGGTTTTCTTTGAAGCTGGTGTCTTGGCGAAAATATCATCTTCTCCGCTCGATTGATCAGCAAAAATATCCGTAATATGCGACGTCCTTACGGTCTCGGTAATATTGGTTAACATATCATTTTTACTCGATTGCTCTTGAATACTTCCAGAATCTGACTTCTGTGTTTGATCGAATGGCTCAGAGAACAAATTTGTGTCGTTATCATCATTATCAAATAAGCTTATTTTCTTCGCAGTTTGCTCCATAGAATGTCTCTTTTCGGGTATGTTTTCTATCGTCGACTTTTTTACAACGGATCCAAATAAACTATCATCTTCGTCTTCTTCATCGAATAAACTAATCTTGGTATCCTTTAAAGGCTTTTTCACGGCTTTAGTTAAAGTCGTCGTAAACAAATCACTTTCCGCATCATCGGTAAACAAGTCCAAAATTGGTTTCTTCGTAGTTTTTTCTTCGACGAATTTCTTATTACCGCTAGAAAACAAACTATCGTCTTCGGAAAATAACAAATTCTTTCCTTTTTCTGGAGATGGTGTTTTCGTAACAAAGGCAAATAACTGACTGGGATCTTTCAACGGATCGTGACTATCATCTCGTAACGGATCGATCATTTTTTTCGATTCGTCTTCGAATTTCGTGTCCTCTGATTTGGATTCCTTTCTAGTAGCGCATGAAATTGTAGCGTTTACATTGGAAGTGGTACTAGATTCGGATAACGTGCTACTCTTTTCTTTTTGTTGCTCGGTTTTCCCCGTTTCTGTCTTTATATCGTCGATTTGTTTAATATGCGTGTCTTTCAATACTTTAAAGGTAACCGGTGGCTTTTCAGAAACGACTTTCTCGACTGGGGAGAGAATAGGCGCTCTACCAAACAGTGTATCTTCTTTCTGCGGATCCTCTGGTAGATCAGGTGGTACATCAAATAAATCTTCTTCGTCCGTAGACGGTGACAGTAAAGTATTTTTGTTAGCACTCACTGAACTTTCCTTGCTTATGCTCCCTAATTCAGATTTATCATCCGCAGACAAGAATATATTAGTATCAGGGGTTCTATAAAGATTATCGTTGGTAGACGAAACCAAGTGGTCAGAAATCGCGGCGGTAGAATGGGCAGCGCTGGTGTTCGCAGCTGTAAAGGTCTCTTTATTGAAAATACTTGACGATTGATTAACCTGATTCTCATCTTGTGAATTATTCTCAACGAAGTCTACGGTATCAAAATCGATTCCGCTTTGTCTGATAGCGGATTTTCGTGCTTGCCTACTTTGTGGTCGGCGTCTCGCTTGTATCCTAACCCGAGTCTGAAAAATGATAAAAAGAGCAAAAATAAATAAACAATATGATCAACGGAATTATTTTCGCTTTTCAAAATATTTCAGTGATGTTTTAGTAATTACCTTCGAAGCGGTAGTAGACAACGTCTCTAGCTGGGCTGGTTCATCGAAACTAATGGCATTTTCTGCATTATTTTCATCCGAAATCATTGATTGCTGTGATTGCTTCTGCGTGGTGCTGTCTTCTACAAAACAACATTTTCCTTTAGGTCAAATATATTATGTTAAAAAATTATAGATGAAGATACAAACTATAAGTGTAGAATGTAAAAGTTATATCTTCGTTACCTGACACACTTAACGGCGAATTAGGACCTTGTGTACTAAGACATCCACCGTCATCGCTATCTCTATCCGCTGCACTATCTTCTTCATCCGTCTTTTCTTTGCTTTTTCGCCATACTGGTGGTGTATCCATAGGTGAAATCAACTTCAAATCGCCCATTCTTCCCATCAAATTTTTTATCTTCCCAGAAACCACGCGTTTCGCTGCCTGATTGTTCTTTTCAGGCGAAGATAACGTGCCAGGTGTATGTATGTCTAAAGATTTTGGAGGACTCTTCTTTAATTCATTTTCATTATTTTGCATAGGTTCGCGTTCGTCAGAGCTACTAACTCGATGCATAACTTTGTCATTATCTTGTTCTATGTCCGTGGACGCAGTAACAGGAACGTTTGATTCTTCAGATTTCGCAAAGATGTCAGGACTATTTGATGTTTCAATATTCTTAATAGAACGTTCCTTAGTATCCTCTGTCGTCTTCAAATTTAAATGTGCATCCTCTTTTGTTTTTTCCGTTGATACATTTTTGGTACTGAACAAATCATCATAGTCATCATCCTCAAAGATTAATCCATGCGATCCAATGGCAGTAGAAAACAATCCGTTGCCCGAAAGAATATCGCTACTCTTACTTTTGTTCTTCTCAGTGGATACTTTCTGATCCGTGATATCTATTCCGAATGTAGCCGTTTCTGATGGCTGTTTGTTATCTTTCTGCTTTTTATCAATTGGTTTCTGGACGGAAAACAAATCATTCTCGTCGTCGTCGTTGAAAATATCAGGCTCATTTTTAGCTTCGCTTTTGACAGGTTTCGTAGCGAATAAATCGCCATCTTCGATATCGTCGTCGTCAAACAACCTAATTTCCTTCGATGTGGCAACATTTTTGCTTTTCTCCAAGCCATTATTTTTTGGTATCGTGTCTCGAATATTGCTTGCAAACAGATCATCATCAGGTATGTCCAAAAATTTTCTACTAGAGGTACTGCTTTCCTGTTTCGCAACCGGTTTCGGTATTATGCCAAAGATATCAACGTCTAGCGAATCCTTATTATCGAATATATCGATTTCTTCGTCAAAGAGACCTCTGCGTTGCGTGGATTTTATTTTATCAGAATACTGAGAAGTTAATAAATCGCTACTCCTTTGCGATCTAGAACCTGAACTGGTCGTTGAAAACAACTCGTCACCAGAGTCGGAATCGTCAAATAACGAAGGCATCTTCGATTTTGCCGGTTTTGAATCCGCTTTTGGTAACGGGGGTGGGCCAAACAGATCTTCGTTCTCGAATACATCGTCTTGCGCTATAGACAGTACATCTTCTATCGATTCTTCCTGCGGTTGATTATTTGTTGAATTTAAAATTGAAGTAGCATTCGCTGGATTCTGTGTACGTGCAGTGAACAGACTGTCACTGGTGATTTGTTCCCGATAGATCTCTTCCGATTTTAAACGCGTTGATGTCATTTGTGGCTGGAAGTCAACGCTAAAACAAAACGGTCATAAAAATAGAAATAAAAAATAATAATATAATATTCTATTAAAGTGAATTCAAAATTGTTTTCTTTTCTTTCTTTTTTATTGCTTATCTTGAATTAAATTGGAAGAATAGTATTTCATTCTCTGTATTAAAAGATATGCCTTATTTATGGTAGAAGCTTCCTTCTGAAGAATACGTTACAAGATTACAAAACAAAAGCAAATAGAAACATGAAACTTAAAACACGGTGCGTATTAATAAAATGTATAGAGTTAAATATATCGTAACAAAATCAATAAGGCAACGCTTGCAGATCAAAGAAAGATTAAAAAATGTGGAATGCAATGTCTAAAATGAATTTATATAAGAAATGGTAAGATTTCATGACGCTAGTAGTTTCTTCAACGCAACAATTTCTCATAATTCAATTATTCAATATCATGTGTACGCGAAACGTAATAAAATCATTGAATACACTTATGCGATGCATTAAAATGCAAAAATAGGTATAACGATAATATAGTACAATACAATTTCCGATATAGAATTATCAATAACTCGCGGCAAAACAAATCCATAATTGCATGTAATAAATTCTCAAGAGACATAACGCGATAATTTATAACGTGCTAAATGAATCAATTGCTATTGACAGAAACAAGATTACAGCGAGAGAAATCTTGTCTATGACAAGTTGGCATGTGAGATTGGATTCTAAAAAATTGAATTACCATTCAACAAAATATAATAGCTTTTAGAAAGTACGAGGATCTATCCGTGGAGACGTACTATAGAGATTAGAGACACATGCATCATTCAGACAGGCATATAACAGGACTTTTGTAAGTGATTTGATTTTAAATCAATACATATATACTTGTTAAGTATCACATGGACAGTAATATTATTCATTGTTCTACATATCATGTTCTTATACATAAAAACTAGAAATGTTTATTAATTAATTAATTTAATTAAACATATCCCACTACCAATATGATACGGAATTTATTTGTGCAAATTGAAAAATTGTTATTGCGTTAGGGATGAATAATGCCAGATGAATAATAGCCATGAGATAATGTAGTACTTACTAGATTTCCTATAATTAGAAATAAATGAAATTAAAAATGTGTTGATCGAATATATGCCTACAAGATACTAGTTCTGGACGAGATACGAATAAACTAAAGGAGCTCGCCTTGAGCTCGCGCATGTAGCCGATACAATCACCGCAACGTAATGAATGATGACTAATGTTTGGATCATCAATTCAATGACATTTGATGTACATGGCACGTGCATTTGTTTTTCGCGCGTATAAAAAAACAATGACGATATAAATTTTTATCGATATATCATTAAACATGGTCCGACAATCGTAGGGACGATAATACCTTTATTTTTAGCAAAATATATTATTGTCCATAATCTAAATCATCTGATTTGTTATTTAATCTAATTTACTTTAATTTAATTTAATTTAGTAATAAAATTGGCACTTACCCTATGCTTGAACCACCTGTATTATTAATACTTGGTGGATGAATTGATATTCCACTGCTGTAACTACTTTCATTAACAATGTTTGAATTTTCTGCGTTATTCCTTGCTGTCACAATAGAGTCTTGTTCGTTAATATTATTGTTCAGAATAACATTTCGCGAACGATCAAGTACCGATTCATTGCTACCACTAATTTCATAATTTGCTGGTGTATTACTTCCGGAAGATCCAGATGATTGAGTTCGCGATATCCTACGAGATAGCTTATTTTCATTCTCTGAAGTTAAGATATTTCCAAATATCGATACTTCTCCCCCTGGTTTCTAAAATATCACATGAAATATTAATTTTGCAGTTCCATTATAATATTTGTAAGTGAAGTATTTTGTTAACAATAGTTATTTTATGCAATCTTACCTTTTTATTTAGTTGTTGATGTTTAGACGATCCGAAGAGGTCACCAACATCTTCATCATCGCTAAATAAATTAGTATTTACGTTAGTTTCTGGGGTACTCGTAGTCATATTACTAGTTACTGATGATGCTATCTCTAAATGATTCCTTCGCGTTCCTTCTGTCTTTTCTGACTGATTATTATTGCTAGAATATTTATTTTTCGTGATTGTATTTTTCGGGGAAAAAATGTCAGAATCAGCATCGCCGAAAAGATCATCGATTGCAGATTTTGGTTTCGTCGCTGTAAATACAATCCCTCTTATTAAACATCTTGAAAAGACGCAAATATGTAAATTACGAAAGCTTATAAGCTACGAGAAACTTACAAACAGCACTAATTGGAGGTGGCACATCAATGCTAGCAGGTATAATATTATTCTTATACGATTTGATTTGTCTTTCCTTGGATGCATTTTCTACAAATTGATCATTTAAAAATCCTTTACTTCTACTGATTATAGTTTTAGATTTATCATTTAAGATGTTTTCATCTTCCTCTGGTGTAAATAAATCATCTAAAAAATATAATAAAAATTAAATATGGATAAAAATCAAATTAAATTTAATTCATGTAAATACCTTTAAATCGATTTATCGATGCCTCATTTTTTTCATCTACAACAGGTTTTTCAGTCTGTCGAACTGTACCTAATCGCTTGGCTAATTCTTCTGCAAAATTTGGTGTTATATTGTTCGGCAATGGTATCTAAATCAAAGTATGAAGATCTTATAACATGTATGTGTAGTGTAAAGAACATCATACAAGAGTATATATATTAAAGAAAAAGGAAATAGGAACCTTTGATGCATTATCAGTAGGAGTAACTGAATCAGGTACTGAATCTATTTCATTTTGACTAAGTGCATCCATTTTGTCATTTCCTATAATATATGTCATATCATTTCTTTTACTGTAATCCGATTCATTCAAAGAAGGTAATAATCCAACAATGTTTGTTTTTGGTGCAGCATTCATACTGTAATCTTTAAATGCTGCTGTGGTATCATCTTCGCTTTCTGATTCTTCTTCTTCTTCGTCTACTTGTTCAGATTCACTGCTGCTACTGCTTTCTAGACCAATTTTATTTGAATTTTTCCATTTTTCTGAGCCAATGACATAAGGCAAAGGTCGATCTTGGTATGGATTATTTGGTCCCAATACAACACTGTAATTAAATTATCGATATTTTATTTATATATGTATAATAAAAACAATAATAAATAAAAATAATTACTAGATTATTTTTTATAATATTTATTATAATATTTACCTTAGTACTACTTTATTGTCCTCTTCTTCACTATCACTATCAACAAACTCCATTTCCTTGTATTTTTCATACATTATATTTAGGCCTTGCTTGACACTTTCACTCACACTAGCTATGAAATCTGCAGTTGCAGAATCTTCATCCTTACCTTGCTATAAACAAATTTTGATATAGTAATAATTTAAAAAAGTTACAGTATCTTACATCGTAAAAATCTCCAACTACCTCCACTGATGTTTCTGCTTGTTGTCCAATCTCTATATTATCCTCCTGTACACGGCTTTCAATAAATTGAGTATTGGCTAAAGCCAAAGATGTATTGGTAACATTATCTATAAATATTGCTGTTTCATTTAGTTGTGTTGTCAGTGAATCTAAGGCTTCTTGAGTTTTATTTGCCCTTGATACCACATTCTATAACAAATATTGTCGGTAAATATAAATCTTGTACAAGTATAATTTTAATAGGTTACACCAATTTCAATCATACATTAGAAAATTGCTGCAGATGTTTAAGGAGTCCTGCATCACCTGCTAAACTCCATTCCCTTCTCTTTTTTCGCATTTCATCTGTAGTCCATGGATGATCCCATGACTTATCCATCCCATTTGATATGTCCTAGTATATCAAATTTCTATTATATATACTTAAAACTATCTAATATATTTTTTCTAAATGCTTAACAAATTTGACAAAAAGGAACAAATTTCCATATTATTTTCATTATACTAATTCTGTTCCATATGAAAAAAGTAATATATAATCTTTATTATTGTTTATATTCGTTAACCTTGAAAGTTTTAAATGTCAAAACTGGTAAATGGTTATACAACATACCATACCACCTAGCCCAATTTACTATAACAGACTGTTATTTATCTTCGTAATTACATTTACATACGTTGCATTATTTTTTATCAAACTTAGTAAAAGAAAAAAACACCCACTTAACAGTTGGAATTATCAAGTGTCCGGCACTGTCACAACTACTACTGTATGGGAAAACTTTCAGGAATGTGTGAAAGTTAATCTGAGGCCTATATTTTGCAAGCTGTTTTTTGCTTATACGTCATAAAATAGAGAGTACGTAAAACGCTACAGAAATTCTTAATAAGACAAAGAATTAAAACAATTGAAAATTTTGTATACAAAACATCTTTTTTATATAAATTATCTGTTTGAAAATTATAATATATCTTTTTTTTTATATTATTGTGAAGTAATATTCGTAATAATTTATGTTTCGCTGCGTTATCGTGTTATTTAAAAATTTAGTACAACCAGCACAATAAAGTATATTAATATGTATCATATTTTTCATAATTAAACAAGTAGAAAAGGGCCTTTCTGTTACAGCATACAACGCTGGTCCATACAATGTTGCCAAACCGAACAGTATTTTAGTCCATAGTCCGTATTCAACATTCCGCTGTTCGACCTATAGAGGAACAGCGCTGTAGATTGTTTGTCAATATCTTCGAGTTAGTTGATTTTTACCAAGTTTTATGTGTAAAGCAACCGTTTTACAATAACACAAAACATAAAAAAGATGTCTTGACTGTAAATGTGTCAGAGTGTCTAGTGTATGTGTATAAGACATACTGATAATACTGACAAGGAGAACATCGTATATGTGGAATAATGCTACTTTTATATGCAAGTGAAGAATTCCATCTGTTTCATTAGAGAAAAGAATGTTTGGAACCTTTATACCATAAATAGTATTTGAACTTTCCACAATTAAGATTTTATTATTTATACATTACCCCATGGATATTTAATATAAGTTTTTGAAGTGGAAAAGCAAGCATTTGTAATACAATAACAAAAAACGACGGATAACCGTTACTGTGCAAAAAGTTCCATAAATTGGTACTTTTAATCGGTACGTACGTATTAAATAAATATTTTATCATAATCTACAGAAAGATCTATTTTATTATAAATTTTTGTAACAAGTTGATTTAATTTTTTAAACAACATTTTATAGCATAAACGTACGTGTGCCTATGTATTAAGTAACAATAAATATAACAAATTTATTTACCATAAGATATAGGATAAATACAATCACGAATACATTATAAAATTTTTGTTAGGCATTAAAAACAATTTATTTATCACATTATGATAAGAAATGTATATTTTATTTGTTCTAGATATACTTTAAAACATGTACATCAGAATGTCACAACAAACGGATATGTATGGCTTATATAGCAAAGATGAATACATCCGACAATTGTGTATCTTGTTTAGTTGATGCACAGAATATTATCTTAGGCAATTGTCCATTTTCTTTATTGCATATCTTTATTCCTGCTCTTTTAGAGCATTCTCATTGTCATAAAGTATACAGTGTTCACAAAATCACTTTTAATGAGGCTGAAAGCACGTACAGGAAGGCTAACTCTCTTTTGAGAAGGTACAGTGTTTTACAACTGACTTTCATGAACAATGAACCATTCGGGAAGTGGAAAACGTCAGGCGAAGGTTTTGGAAGAAAACTATTGGGACTGCAGTGTTTGCACATATAGAAATACAGCAGAAGCATTTAAGTGCCTCATGTGTGACGTCCGTAAAGGAACTTCTACGCGGAAACCCCGTATTAATCCCCAACTTGTGGCACAACAGGTTACAATATTATAGTATTTCACTATATGTTATAAATGCAATAATGTATAATAAATTTACAATACGAGTTAATAATATATAATCTTATTAACATTAATCTATATGTAGGTTGCGCAACAACAATATGTACCACTTTTGAAACCTGGAAAGAAGGAAGGTGCAAGTGGGGGTAGTACAACTAGTAGCGGTAAAGAAAAAGATCGTAAATTGGACAAACCAAGGCGTAAAAATAGGCACCCACCTCGTCTAAAAAATATAGATCGTAGTACGGCTCAGACCAATGAAGTGACAGTGAACAATGTTACTGTCGTTATTACCGAATATAAGCCCAAAGTGAAAAAAAGTTCAGATCAATCTGGTTTGTCTAGCAGTGCTTCTTCTGAAAATGGAAGTCAGCATGATTCTAATCAAGACTCCAGAAGTCTGGATATAGGAACAGATGCTTAGCTCAGTGCTGTAACACATATGTGTATGAATTAATCTAATTAATATATTATATCTGTCAATCTCTATGGACTATGGTCCATTCTGTAGACAAAAACAACCATTTTGTCTATATGTTACAGGTTACGTAACATTCAATGAGGTCAGATGTTTTATGCTATCAGTGGAATCATTAAATTATGTCTTCAGTATAACATAAGAAATATGTTGTATATTGTTGCTACATACTGACATAAAAAAAAATTGTTTCATAACAGTAATCTTGACATCTAAAAGCAACAACAAAAGTTAGTTAAATTTATTTATTTCATAGATTGATAATATTCCAAATTGATCTTTAATATTTAATTACATATTTTAGATAATTTTATTTGTGCAACTTCGGATATTACGTATTACTCTATTTATATAATATTAATTGTAACAAATGCATTATATGCCTTAATATGGCAAATGGAATTTGATACACCCATTGTTGACATAACAATGTCCACATGACTTTCATTGAATCTATGACGCCACTGCCAGAAAGCATGTTGTAACATTATTGTTAATTAGAATATTTTGACTCATTTATGTATAATATGAGGTATTTATCTTGTTTATTTAATAATTGCTGTGAAGAAGAACTAAGAAACTGGCATTGGTACGTATATACCTTTATCCCATTCCAAATTCGATCTGTTCCAAGCTTTACACTTTAATAGCAGTTAATTTCACTAACACAGAAATTTTTAATTTATATATAGATATACATAAAAAGATATGCGATTAAATTACATAACATACTACATAATATAAATTGAAATAGGTATCACATGGTTTAATATATATTTTAGATAATATCTGAATTTGTAACAAAAAATTTTGTTAATTTTGGTTGCTCACTATTCTCGTTATGAAACACGACAAATGTAACTTTTATGTACTTCTTATATTGCCTCCATACTTTAATAGTATTAGGATATATAGATTCAATGTAATATTACTGGAAAATATTTGACCAATTTACTAAATATTAATTTCTTTATGTAGTAAAATCACAAATATTGGAACAATGTTACAAAAGACTATCATTTTTCTATTACTGGTACTACAGCAGAGCATAAAAGCTGCAAAGCTAGCTCATATTAGTAACTGCCCAATCACTTGTAACTGTGATTTATAGTTCTTTTTATATTTATTTTTACATATTTTACGTTACCAGATAAGAAATAGCATTATCGAATTGACTCATACAAAATTTATTGTGACTATAAGGACCATAAACAATATGATTATTTCATAAGTAATGGAAAGATATTAATATGCTATACAACCAATTCTTTTTAAATCCATGTAAAATATTTGTATGCTAGTTAGACTGAACTATAAAATGTAATTTGTCATTAAAGTTAATATTCTTTATCATAAACATGAAAGTAAATAATACTTTTACAAACATTTATACATATTCAGGTACCAAAAATTATATAATCATGCAATGTTTTAAAGAGTTTATAACATAGAGAAATGAAATTGTAGCGGCTACTTCTCAATTGTTTTTCATAAATGTCATCAATTTTATAAACTTTACAAGATGAATGTAAAATTTGCGTTTAATATTTGTAAATTAAATATATTCGTAAATCATTTTAATTTACTTCAGATAAAAAATTAAAGATATTTTAAATTATATTATCATCGTGAAGATAATGTATTTTTAATCCTTTTACAGTTACAGCAAATGTTTTATACTTTATAATGTACAACTTCAAAGTCCATATTTCCAACTACTGGAATCGTTCATTGATTTAAAAAACGATATTTTTTTAATAATTTAATAAATATTATGATATTTCTACATTGGATCAATACAAATCAAAAATTTGTATCAATTGTCTTCAATGTGTAAAAATATGTTAAAATAAAATTGGATTTGTGTGTGTTGTAAATTATTAGAACAGAATTACATACTATGTTGTACAGATTGTAAAACTTTCGAAAAATATTGTTGAAATTAACAATATATTATTACAAAGAAAAAATAAATTACACGTTTTAAGAAGAAAAAATACAACTTTTAGTTTAGTCTTTCAAATATTTATTTATGTCAAAACAATATACAAGTAAAAAGTAGCACAAGTGCCTATGGATATACAATCTTTGGAGATATAATTTGAAATCTTTATTGTACTTGTTTACTTATACCTTTCTGTTCTTTTGGATGCTGTATTAGTTGTATGTAGAATCGTTGAATTCTTATCTTCAGTTACATCCATCATTCCTTCTTTTTCTTCTTGTGTTCTGGTATCATTGATATTGTTTTGTAACTTCCGTTCCCGAAACCTCTCGCGTACTGTTAAAAATATATATTAAGATGCTAACAATAACAAAATTATTATATAAAAGTTTGATATTATATGTATATTAACATACCTTCTGGTATTTGTAAAAGATCAAATATTTTATAATTATGTGATTTATTGTCACCACCAACAGCAAATACAAATGGATTATCTGGGTTGGGTGCAAGACATAACAAAGCACCAAGATTAGTCTTTTTTTCCCAAATAGACCGTGGCTCTTTGTTGTTAATAATATCCCACACCTTTATGACACCGTCGTTTGCTGAAGTAACTAAAAGTCCAGGGCATGATGAGCTAAGTGATAAACCTAAAATCATAATAAATCTAGTTATAATTCATATTTATGTATATTACACATTATTCATATATCAATTTTATATAATTTACCTATGACTTCTTTTGTGTGAGCTTGCACATCCCAAATTGATTTGTCTTCCCTAATATCTATATATTGTATATACCCATTAGAGGTACTGACCTAAACCAAAAATAACAATTAAAATAATTTCAACCAGTATAATGTAAATTCTATTTCGAACAAAAATAATATATTTCATATATTTACTAAGCAATAATTTGAATCAAATGAATTCCATAACACTTTTTCCACTTCTCCTAATGCATCCCATGACTGTACAATTGTTTCATACCTACAGTCAAATAATCTTACCAGCCTGAATAAGAAATTAAGCATGTAAGTATTTCAGTTATAATTAAAAAATTTCTATAAATGATTGAAAACTAATAGACATACGTATCTGCGCAACCTGTCAATAAGTAATGACTTTCGTTTGGATGCCATTTTAATGACTGAATTTCTTCTTCAAAAGATGTAAATTTGTTAGCAGGTACCCCAATTTCTAAATCCCACAACAGAACTGTATGATCAGCAGATGCACTAGCAAGTACATGTCTACAAGAGTATTAAAAAAAGCTGCTTTATTAGTGAGTGTATGAAGTTTCAAACAAACATTTTAATTAGTAGATGATACTAACGTATAATTTTTATTCCATGCTAAATCTAATACAGCATCTCTATGCCCAACATAGCTTTGACTTCTCTTTTTATTTGATTTGCGACCAAGTTTATAGACTGGTTCTAAAGAATCCATTAAATCTAAATCCCATATTTGTATGATAGAAGTCATATCACCAATTGCACATAAATTACCTATAATGAATAAAAAAGTTTATACAAAATTTGTAGCTGCATAAAAATATTTCATACTTACCTGGTTTTGAATCTGAAGGATCAAAATCAAGCCATTCTATACACAATGGGAATGATGGTAACAATATATCATGATGACAATAAAATGAATCTTCATCTTGATTATATACTAAAAAATAAGTAAACTTGTGCTTTAGAAATTATTTATAAGGATTAAAGTTTCTTCATTAAAAAATTATGATTTTTATTTGATATACAAACCAAATACTTCTAGGATACTACCACCTCCTTCTACACGGCCTATTAGTACAAGATTGTCGTTACTTTTAATAATATCATCATCTTTTTCTGAATCATCATCTTCTTCTGTTATAAAAGGGTCTATTCCATCTTCCTCAAAACTTGCAATATTACCAATATTACAGTGTATATTACCTGCTGTATATTAACACCAATTTTTTAAAAAGTTAAATTATTTATGTTATAATATGATAATATTTATCTTACATTCGTCATCATATTTGTCAAAATTATATTCGTCTATTTCGGAGGATCCTACTTCACGTTTTTTTTTATTGTGTTTTTTATCTGAATCATTTCCAACAGGTCTAAAAAAATTGAAATATTTTTACTGTTGTGAAATACTTTTTTAAAGCTATCAGATATTACTATAATACTTACAGTATTAATTCAGGTTGTTTGTGTTTTATGATTCGGTTTAATTCTTTTGGAGTTAGTTGAATCTGAAAAATTGGTAAACTATGCCCATTAGATTAAACAAATTAAATTTCATACCAAAAATATTAAACTTGATTAACCTTTGCAGGGTTTGCAGAAGCAACACCTTTTTTTACCCACGATGTGCACGGTATTATACTCATTTTCAAACTATATATCTTTTTAAATTAACTTCTACAATAAAAATATTTACAATTATTTATGGAAACATTGAATAACAAGAATAATATCTGATATCAGGTGTCATACGTATTGCACGTTGTATAAATCGTACGTTGTATATCTATGATTTCAATTTGAGGTACCAACTTTAGGAAATTTTATGCATGTTCAATGTTCAATATATTAAGAAAGTGATTATTGAGAATTCAATAATTATTAATTAAATGTGAAAAATAAATACGTTTACGTACTGATAGTGCTAAATATATTTAAACTTTAATGTTTAAAATTTATATTTAAAAATAAAATAAATTAGTTTTTCAAATTGTTTGGGTATTCTTAAACTCATCAGAATGTTAGATATAAAAATTATCCCTGAAGACAGAGATAAAATTACTAAGGATTACTAGTGTATTTGGTCAAAAGCACTGGTTGAAAGGAAATATGTACGTCAGTAATCATTTGTTTAATTGTCATTGTTAAATCAGAATTGTTCATACAAGTTACTTTTTATATATTATATTTACTATACTGGTAAGTGAACTTATATAATTTTGAACTATTATCGTTTAATATTAATTTGTGTTGGAATAATTTTATCATGATCTATCATAATTTGATAACCTGAAAACTTTTGATGATTTATGATTCTGTAATAAATAGTTATTAAATTTGGATTCATATGTAAATTTCAGTTTATAAAATGAACAGTTCATCGGATCCTAGACGTCCAGAACGAGAAGTTCGGTACAAACCGAGCGTATCAGGCAGTCAGGCACAACCAGACGACAGTGCAACTCCAGATTATATGAATATATTAGGAATGACCTTTAGCATGTGTGGTTTAATGATGAGATTAAAATGGTGTGCATGGGTTTCACTATATTGCTCATGTATTAGTTTTGCTAATTCTAAAGTAAGTGACGATACTAAACAAATACTCAGCAGTTTTATGTTATCTATATCAGCAGTTGTAATGTCGTACTTACAAAATCCACAACCCATGACTCCACCATGGGCATCTGCGATACAATAAAGGGTTTTTTAAATTCACACAACTCTCTTAGAATATTAATTATTTAATTATTTTTTAAAAATTCTTGTAAAACATATGTTGATACAATAAAACAGTTTTTAAATTAAGAAAGTAAAGTAGGAGAGGAAAAATAAAGTATTGAATTGGCATTTTTATTTTTTGAAAAGTATATTTTAATACATTAAATGAATTACTTCGCAATGTATCACTTTTTGCTAATGATATTCTACAAATGTCACTTACAATATTTCTCTAATATTTATATATTATATGTATAGTATTTTCTAAATATCTATCGCGTAAGCTAAAAATTAAATAGATCAAATATATTTTTTCTATTTTTTTACATAAATACAGTAGTTTTAAAGATTCAACTATTAAAAGATTGTTGATAAAAATTATGTTTCGTAGCTCATATTTTTCTGTTACATAATTATATCTTCTTACCAGCTACATATTTTACATCTTACGCGTAATCTATATACCTTTTCAGTCCCATTTTTGCATCCATCGAAAGATTAGTAAAAAAATGTAATAGAAAGTATTGTTCAATCGTATAATGAAAGATCTCGAACATTAAGTAAAAGAGATAATGTTAAGTGACAGAATCATATAGACAATATCACACTTTGTTAACTCTATTAAAAACTGTACAAAAATGCACGCATATAATTCTTTTGAAAACTGTACAGAAAGCTGGTACTAAATGCGATTGACGAGTAGGCCAGTGCAACTTTTTTTATAGACGTTTACACGTTTTTACCATGTTATAACAATCAACAGATTAAAAAGAACAAGAATCTATATTCTTAGAAGTTATCCTTAAAAGTTGATATTTCTTTTGAGTGACAAGGCATCTTCATTCGTGTAAATCGTCATTCATATAATCCGCTGCCTTTTTGCTAATTTTCTTATTTGTCTTTATATATGTATATTTATTTATTAGATCTTTAATGTATATGTAATTAACTCTGTATCTTATTTGTCCTTTGGTTTATCATTTAGTTGGCAGAAAACGTTCTGAATCAGAAAATATTTCGTCTCATTCGAGAAATGGCTGTACAAAAAGGAAAACGAAAAGTAGTATTTTTATACTACGATAAAAATCATATTATTCGAATTTGGCTATCTATCTATTATTCGAGAAATTTCAGAACTTCTCTACATATCGAGTTTCCGTTTACTGTCTTCATACTTCAGTGAAAGATCGTATAAAAAGAGGCAACATAGATATATGGCCCCTTCATTTTAGAATATTTCATATGTTCATCCATCCAAGGGTTTAAGGGAATGATTCTAAACGATCACACTGAAGAATGTGACATTGGCACAGACACTTTAAATCTATCCCACCTCATTTCTATGGTCCCCGGTCGGTCTAACATTTTGCAATTAAACGCTACTTTCGCCTCGACCAACCAGCGTAATCGGATAAACGTATTTCTTGCGTTTCGCGTTGAAAAATGGCGAACTATGTTGCCCGTGCGTAGGTGTCGGCGATAGTCCACGTAGAAGAGGTAACGAAGCATCACCAGGCAGCCCTGTTGCGTCAAATTTCTTTTTCCACTCTGCCCCTAAATCCGTAGCTGGTGCCATCAAACCTTTACACTCTGGGGAACTTCTGACACTGAGGAACACGTCGTTACTGCTATCACGTTGTCCAGAAGAACCCTTGAAAACGACAGGAATATGTTAACGTTGTGAAAGTGCAAATCTATCTAGTTTATAAAATATGATGTCTTATAGAATAATCGAATACTTTTGCTTCGAAAAAGTCCAAGCTGGATCCATTCGTTTCGTGTTCCTCCACGGGGAAACCTGATTGAACTCGATTCGACGTTTGAGACGCCCTAGATGAATGGGAAGAGGCTTGCGACGAGGAGTTTTCCGACAAGTCGTCTCTGCAGCAGGCAGCTGTGCACACTCTTTGCTCTCTGCAATTTTCCATAAATATTACCTTAAGGATAAAAAAATAATTTCGAATTCCAAAAAAAAAAAGAAAAGAAAAAAACAAAAATATTTGGGCTACCTCCTGACGATAACAGAGTCCCGTCTTCTCGGTACTGGCGGCGGAAGACCAGCGGTTAAGCTCTTGGCGCTTTCGTAGCTCGCCTCGCTGTTGCCGCTGCTTGTGTTACTGCCGTTGTTCCCTTCCCTCAGGAAGTAATTCTTCGCCGAGAGCATAGCGAAGTGAAGATTGTTCTTCAAGTCGTCCGCCGCCGTTGACAAGTTTCCCGAAATTTTGGGTGTACGCCTCATCGGTCTCGGTGGTGGTACCGGCGATGGTGGACTGCTCGACGCCTCCGAGAGTGTTTCCGGCGTGGCTAGTGGCGCCGTTCGAGAGCTCTCGTCCCAGTCGCTTCGACGATTCGATCTTCGTGTTAAAAAGTAAGAAAAAAGACGAACAAGAAGAAACTGCTTGACATAACTCTTGAGATAAAAAATAAACTGCAGCTAAAGAGCAACATTTTATGATCGAAGACAAGAAAGAATATACGATGTCTGATTATTAGAGCGTAAAGTGTTCCTCTTAAGCCGCAATTCTTCGGAAGAACCGTTTTCCGTTAGATGGTCTGGTCTGATGGAGTGCAATGAGTATTTAGGTGCGCGATTGCCGAAGCGGTGAACCTTGTGAAACGTGAAACATAAGCGAACGTGAACGAGAGCGTGATATATGAGGTTCCTTAAACTCGATGGAATACTATTTTGATTGTTTCTCGCGCCTATGTATGTAGTTCGAATGAGATTAGAAACGCATCGAATGCAAATATACAAATCGAAATTTAACGTATAAATTTCCTGCCTCGGACGTAAATATTTACATAAATATTTTATAAAATTCGGCAAAATACAGTGCAAATACAAATACGTGGAATATTCTTCTACCCGTACGTTTATTATCCCTAAAACAACCAAGTTATTACATCGTTATATCGTTCTTTTCGTTGACTTAAAATCCTCATCGTAAATCTAATATATCGGCATCCATTTAACGTCGGTCCTCCGTCACGGACCATAGTTTGTCGTCCAGACGTATAATTGCTATTCTTACGATTTAGTCTCGTCGGCCCTGGGCGTGTTGAGCAATTCGCTGGCCAGACTGACGTATTCCCATGGGATTCCCCTGGAGTCGACGCTCAGCTCGCGACCAGCTTGAGGAAACTCCGAGGGGCTTTGCAACGACGTGAAGCTTGTCTCCAGGCAGAGTTTGTGCGGTGGCGTCCCAGCCAGGTTGCTAGGATGCGACTTTACTGGGCTCGATGAAGAGAGTAACGCTCTCATCTCCTGTTCCACCTCCATCTCCTGGATCTCGACGGCCTCGCGTGCCTCCGACGGCTCCGTCGATGATGCGTGACCGGAAGCCAGCCTCTGTGGCTTCGCC